TCAAATAATTAAATATTAATTAGATGCAGTCAATGGTTCAGTTGTTGTTTCATATTCGCTTCGTCGTCCTTCAAGTGCTGCTAATGTACTATTAAAACCACCACTATTTTGTTTTGCATGTCGCATTAATCTTCTGGTCGGTGTATTTTTTGCTGAACTTGATTGTGTATGACTCCGTGATAATCTATCATAAACATTACCCTCTGGTGTCACTGATCTCACATGCGAATGATGTGAAATCGATACTCGACGTTCACTAGTAACACTCGCGTTGTCATCACTGTCTGGTGAACTACGTCCATATGAACTTTGTCGCATATGAGTAGAGTCACGGTGAGCCATGCTACTCTGTGATCTTCTTTTGTCGATGCCACTGAAATAACCACTGTCACGTGATCCTTCTCGGTTATGAGTTTCATAAAATCCCATGCTCGAACTGTTTTGTCGACTATGCGATAAATGTGCACCAGGAGTATTAGGAATACTAGGTGCAATAGGTGTACTAGGTGCAATAGGTGTACTAGGTGCAATAGGTGTACTAGGTGCATTAGGTGCAATAGGTGTACTAGGTATATTAGGTGTACTTGAACCATCAGGTCTCTTTAATCGTCGGCCAGCTGATCCGGTCTTTTTTGAAAGACTATTATTGCTACCAGTACTATCAACACGTTTCATTGCTCTAGAAGAAGCTCCTGGAGATTCAACAATAGGTGTTTCTACTTCCGTTCCCTTTTGAAACCAATCAGATGGTAACGGAGGTCGTGAGAAACTTGTATTCAAACGTGCTGGTGGGTTTGAAGAAGATCCACAGTATGAATTCCTCTTTGAAGAGGATTCATTGCTATGTACCGGTGCATTTGAAGAAGATCCACAGTATGAATTCCTCTTTGAAGCGGAACCATTACTATGTGAAGAATTTCTTCTTGAAAGTGATATATTTTCTTGTATTGTGCTATGTGAAGAATTTCTTCTTGAAAGTGATATATGTTCTTGTATTGTGCTATGTGAAGAATTTCTTCTTGAAAGTGATACATTTTCTTGTATTGGAGTACCTTTTGAGGATATAGCTGCTTCCACTTGTGCTAAAGCAGTTTCGTAGATACGATCGAACCACGAAAGTGAATTGTTAGCATCATCTTCAATGCCTACAAGACGTAACTCTTTATTTTCTGCCGTTATTGGGCTTGGTGATCTTTCATTTAGATTACCATGATGATTATTACGGCGTAATAGTTCTTCAAGCTCTTTGTTTCTTCTTTCATATTCTGCCGTGGCCATGACCGCAGCCCTACGCATTGCTAATAAAGATTTGTTTAAATCCATAATCGTCTTTTCTTGATGAGCTACTGTCATTTGTTTTGACCATTCACCAGTACGTAGTTTAACTATATCTTCGAAAAATGATTCAAGAATTGTTTGAGATTCAAATGAATCTAAATTTCGTAGGATTGTAACAGCTACGTCATAGGATGCTTCAGGACTTGGATTATCAGGTAAAGAAAATGAAATTCTTTTTTCGGCTTTCCCTGACTTGCTATTCCTACGACCTTTATCATCGGAATCTTTGCTATTATCACCAGCTTGTTCTTGAGTTTCTTGATGTATATCATTTTCCGATTGTTCAGTTGCCACATTTCTAGCCGCTTCTGATTGTAACGCACGAATCCTAGCAGTAATAAATGTTATTTCCGAAGTAATCATTCCAATTCTATCATCTAAATCTTGTGCATCCGAAGTAAATTCATAAGCTGAATTAGATATAACTTTTTCACGTTTTTCAAGAAGTTCTTGTTTTTCTCTGTGTAAATTATCTCGTTTATTAAATAGTTCATCAAGTAATGACAATTGTTGTCGACCAGTAATATATTTGTTAATAGCATCATCTAAAAGTTTCTTTTTCTCAAAACCACTTGCATAAACATCATCATGAATGTTACTTATGTCATCAGAAGTACGCCTTGGTGAATCAGCCGTCGTCTTACGATTTTTACGGAATGCTTTGGCAATTGATTTTGGAGTTGAAGTTCGTTTAAGAAGAGTCATGACAGATTTAAGTTTTCCAGCAGTTTGTAAAACTTCTTTTTGCCTTTTTTCAAGCATTAATTTTTGCATTTCACTAGTTCTTTCAAGTCGTTTCTTTTGTTCTTGAGCAGATTTTTCTTTTCGTCGCAAGTTTTGAAGTTCACGTTGAGTTCGTTCAGTCATTTCACGAACACGATAATCTCTCTCTTTCATGAGTTTAATCATACGCAATTTTTCACCTTTAAGTTGTTCAATTTGAGCACGCATACTTTTAAGTGCTACTTCATTTTGATTTTTTGTGGCAGCATTTGATTGAGAAGCTTCATTATATTTGCGACGAAGTTCACCAATTTCTTGAATAAGACGCTTCATTTTATGTTCATAACGAGCTTTAAGTTCGGCAAGTATAGAATTCTTGTCACGAGTACTAACACCAGTACCAGCATTTGCAGCACGTTTAAGCGCAGCATCACGCTCA